TTTTTAGAGTTTTATGTTTATTTATTTCACAATGAATATAAATTTAGAAATTCAATAATATAAACTACAATTTTGATGCACTAATATATAGGACATTGTATTCTAAATTGAAAACTTAAATGATAATTTTAATCAAATTCAACTTTAAAAATAATAATTATATATAGTCCAATGAGTCAATGACCATGCAAAATTGTGGATCTAGGTCAGATATCATACTGCAAATGAGGATTTGGAATACGATTTTTTTTTTTTGTCAACTTGGAATAAGATTACTTGTTTAGAATATAATATACAACAAATTGATGCACAATTGTTGTTAAAAAAACCAAGTTAATAATTCATTCACAATAATCAACCCAAATTAGATTCTGGAAATGAACTTTTGGTACCCAAATTTCTTAATTGGTATATAATAATGAATATTGATACATCAAAATTGGATTTTATATGGGTTTATTGTTATAAATATTTATTTATTAAAATAAAAAGTTGTAAATTACTTCGTGAAATTGTTGTAAATTATTGATGCATTTCACATAATATTTTATATAATATATTTTTGGCTAACGGTAACATAATTATATTTTTGGTAACTTCTAAGAACTAGACAATACACCGAAAAATAGAAACATATGTTTTTTTTTTCTTATCACAAATTACTCTTTATATAATATAATTTCGGCTAACGGTAATATGGTTATATTTTTGGTAACTTCTAAGAACTAGACAATATACCAAAAAATAGAAATATATGTTTATTCTTTATTTTTTATAACATTTGATTTTCATGAGTTAAACATATTTATGTTTATTATTCATTCATATAATGACATATACAATAGTTCATGTGTTTTGTGATAATCATTTCATTTCTTGAATTTATGTAGATATTATCAAAGAACATATATGGAGAATATTTTCATAAAGATTATGTGTGTTTTGTGATGATAATTTCATTTCTTAATTTTTTAAAAATATGTACATATATATCAATAGCGGAAAATATAGCATTTAATGTAAAAAAAAATTGAAATCTCTTAGTTAAAAAAATACCAATGATAAGAATAAAATATCATTTTCAATTAAAAACTTTTTAATTATAGAATATGGATATGATAAATATTTTAAAGTTTAGGAAGAGAAACATAGTGTATAGATGTAAAACATTGATCATAATTGGTTTGGTAAACTTAGTGTTTATTGGTGATAAATTTCCCATATGATGATGATTACATATGATTGTCAAAAAAAAAAAAACTATAAATATTGCACAAACATGTACAACACTGTATTTGTATATCTTGTTTTAAGTGGCAAAACAAAAACAAAAAACAAGAATGTTGTGACCAAAAAAAAAAAAATTACATAGGAATCATCACTATGGGCCTAATGGGCTTCCACATATGGAAATAAAAAAACTCGCGGGAAGCAACGGTTGGCGGGAGCCAGATTTCGCGCCATATAATATATACTAAATAAAACCCTCAATT